GTCCATAGCCCCGAGGGGGGCCATGGACAAACTGCATATGGCTATGACCTCTGATATTGTAAATGCCTTTTCTGATAGTTACACTCACCCTGCAAGGCATAATATACTGATGTCGAAAGCTACTTCATAGACTGCCCAAGGCTGCGGATATGCTATGGTATACTAGACAGGTGCGTACCAGATTTTATTTGTTTGAACTATCATTTTTCAAGTAGCTATGAGAAGTATACAATTGGAATTTAGTCTGCACCATCGCACAAGCTACACCCCTGAATTAAAAACTGGATAATCTAAACACCTGGGAAATTTTGCATGCTATCGATAATTTTGTCACATAGGGAGTATAGGCTAACTAAGTTTATTATGCAGATAGGATCACGATATTAGCGTTCAAAGAAGTGCTGTCACTATCTAATCATCTACAATAATTATTCTGTTCAAATAGGTGCGATTACTGTCAATCTATGAGCATCACATGCTCCGGCAAATACTAGGGACTGATGAAGCTTTAGAATGCACTAGTCTTTTTGATGGCCTCGAAGCAGCGCAACTTGTCGGGTAGATAAATCTTCTCAAACACCAGCGGGAAGGGAGTGTCCCATCCACAAACTCGCTCGACAGGCGCCTCCAGATGTAAGAAGCATCTGTGGCAAGCAACCGGGCAAGTACACATCAGGAATGGCAAAGTCTAAAAAGTAAAACATTAAAACAATCAAGCGAGCAAAGTGAAACGCACACAAGCAGTCCTTCACAATAGCAAATAAGATGCTTCGTTACGAAGCGCAAGAAGCCTATTGCTGCATTAAAGGTAAGAGTTGAAGCTATCATACACAACAACCAATAACCGACAGGTTCCAATCACTGCTCCCTCACCTTGTGCACTACTCTGGTCTTAAAATGCAGACTAGAGTATCATAACATAATAGCCTTTGAAAGAAACAAAAACGTGATTACATACGATTTCTGAATGCTACTTGCAATCTCTGCGGCGAATCCACCAGTTTGGGGCGCTTCATGGGCCACTATCAGGCGTCCAGTTTTACGCACACTCTCTTCAATGGTAGCCATATCAACCGGTATGATGGTTCGCAAATCGATTAGCTCACAAGATACGCCGAGCTCGGCCTTAGCCTGTAGGGTGTGTATATTGGAATAAGATGATGGTTAACTATCTGTTCAGTTCCACAGCCCTACACGCATAAAGAGCGAAAATAGAATCATTTGTGCACGTTGGGGGCGTATAAAAAGCGACAATGTATGTTTTACTATCAGTATACCCTTCAGTTCAACAAGTATATGGCGCGCATAGGCAACCACGGGATGCTGTCAAGTGATCTCACAGAAAAAAATGGTACCTTTTTGCAATTTTATGACCCACTAGTAGCTGTACATACTGGCGAACAATACTCAGTTTACGCTCACAACAACATAGGAATAGAAAAAAAAGATCTGATGAGTATCGGAGTACAAACCTTGTCACACGCTTCTCGGAGAGTGTGAAGCTGAGTACCCCAGCCCACTACTGTAACATCTGTACCGGGAATCATCACCTCAGCCTTTGAGAGCGGTAGCATGTAGTCACCGACGGGCACTTCCTCTTTATGTCAAGAATATAACAGACAGTCAAATGCAGCAGAAGCAGACAAAGGCAGCAGCACCAGATCATGCGCCAATAGTCAGCCAAAGAATGTAGAAGTGCATGCTCATTGTGGTCGTAATTTCTTGAATAAAAGTCAGAATCACAGTACAAAGAGGTATATATATATATATATATCGAGAAGAAAAAAAAGGTACTTGCGATGGGTTGTACTGCAATACATACCTACGGCAGCACGGTACATGATCTTCGGTTCCATGAAAACGCAGGGATTCTTATCGCGGATGCAAGAGAGCAGGAGACCTTTAGCCTGAATAGGTCCTCTGGGCACGACAACCTGGTTGTTTCAAGTTCAAAGAATTAATTCCTCACAAGCAAAGCAACTTTTGTGTGACATTTCTGCTAAATGTTTCATGAAGATATCATTTACAAGGGCAGGCAGAGTTGATAAATATTCTCGAGTCGGTCACACGAACTATATTAAAAACACTTTCTTGGCAAATACGTTTTCATATCCAATACACGGCCATGGTAGATAAGCACACGAGCTATACAATTATACAGTCACCAGCCTATACGTACACCCAAACACAAACGGGCATACCGATCATCCCATTGCGTACCTTAATTCCTGGACAGTGGGCAAAGAAAGCCTCGGGACTCTGTGAATGGTAGTGTCCTCCGTGGCCGACAGCGCCACTGGGTGTTCGAATTGTGAGACCACCACACTCAAACTCGCCTCCAGAGCGGTACCTGTATTTCGCCGCCTCATTGACAATCTGTACGGGAAAGGGTTGTATAGTGGGAGGGAAGCGCATTGATGTGACAAGCTATCCGTACATTCGACCTATACGACAGTCAAATAGCGTATTCCGAAAGGTATGCTTGTGCATACGTAAGGATAGAGTGAACGAGTAGGGACACGCATATGCGCTTTTGGAAACGTCTGAGACAACAGACTTGCTAACTGGCGTGGACACTCAGCATAGGGAATTGAATTTGAGAGTAGGAAATCTAGTTTCACAGAAGCCGCATATATCAGAAACGTTACTTTTCGAACAAGGGTTATAAACTGTGTGGTCCAGCAATGTGCGCAATACTGCCAAACTTATTTTAGGATATGTGAAGAGTCACCATCAGATAGGACGATCAAACTCACCTGATCAAACGCTGGGAAAATATAGTCAGCAAACTGGATTTCGGCAATGGCTGTGTGTCCCATAGTGGCCATACCGATGCCAAAGCCTACGATTCCCTGCTCACACAGGGGCGTGTTGAATACGCGATCTTTGCCTGCAATCATACAAAGCAAGCGTACAAGTCAATATGCGAATGAGAAGATATGGTGACGATAAATGCGGCTAGTTGTATCCCACTTCGGGAGCATTTCGCACTGTCGCGTCGCTACAAGGCACTGTTCCTGAGCAGATAGGGAACCCAAACCACGCAGATGTGTAAATTTTCGCTTCATATTGGCTGTGCCAACTTCAACGGGGTTACAGCGAAAAAATAACGTTTAACGTGCCCCTGATACAGATGTTACAAATTTTATGGAATTTATATACAATCATTTGCCATTCATGTCTTAGTATTGTAGCTTCCGTACCCTTGAAAGTTGGAAAGTTCTTATGAAGATATCGGGTTGTACAGTCGTACACACGTACGCATGTATATATATATATATATATATATACGAATACATTCAGACATACTTTTATGATACTTTAATTGGAATACGTCAGGCGTATCGTATCAGTAAATATGTACACAAACAAACCTTAAATCTATCCACACGGCTGCTTAGAATGTACACGTACACACATGCATTCCCTCATTCGAAACGCATATGAATTATGATACCTGCATCTAGAGATCATAAGCCACCTTCAGCTACACTTAAATGAATGCTGGTCCAATTCTTACTGAACATGAACTTGGAGAAGTTCGACAAAAGTTTATAACCATAGATGTAGTGTCACATATTTTAAGAGAGTAAATGTACGGCAGAGATAAACACGCATCAATAAGCTAAAACCTATACATAAAATTAGTACACGAATTGTTCTCCAGATGTAACATTCATATATGCTTATGCATGGACATATACCGATACATTGTATTGTATGTGAATGTGCGTATATATCAATGCATATCGTGCGCCTATTATTATACATAAAACTACCGCCTGAGACATTGTCAATGCGTAGGCAATTATGCATGGACATATACCGAAACAAGCAAGCGAATATATATATATATATATATATATATATATATAACACATACATACAATATATATATATATATATATANATATATATATATATATATATACAACAACTATATACAAACA